AACATTGCACGTCTGAGTAGTCGGTGGTTGGGCATACGTAACACGTGTCCCACCCATCTCAACTGATGAAGTTTCACTACTTCATCAATCGATTTGCCATCCTTACCTAGTACCCATTTCCTAACAACTATATTACTTACCCGGTGGTCCCATGATATACAGACACTGCTTCGAAGACACAATTGATCGTATACTAGTAGCCTACGAGTATCCTTCACTTTTAGCGGCCATATTTCGCTGCCATAAAGTAGGACGGAACGAACTGCTGCACAGTAAACCCGCCCATTGGTTTCTAGAAGGATATCTCACCTACGCCATAAATGATGCAAGTTGGCGAAAGCTAAACAAACCTTCTGTATCCGCGCTGAGATTTCGTCACACACCATACCACAAGGGCTGATGAGACTCCCAAGATAAGTGAAGCGGTCAACACGCCCAAATACTTCACTTACTAAGTAAGTAAATAAGTAAGTAAGTAACTATTTCTAATAAAATACAAATCTCACGAAAAATAATCAAAGTAGTCTGATTAAACCTCTAGACCATCTTTTTTTTTTTTAAAATCACAACAAAGTTTCCTAAGTAAAATCTTTTTAAAATGAACAATTATTGATGTCAAATGCATGCACTTACAAGCAAACATTATTTGGTAATTTACTGGAAATAAATGGAACAATTTAAACGCTGAACAGTATGATGAAACAAACAAAAATTAGGTATATCTTTTAAGTTAATGCTTTTAAATTAAGATGATGAACTGATCAATGTTAGAAAACTATTGAAAACTTAGAAACACTGGATGGCTGTTTCGTTCCAGTATGGGGCTCCTCAACAGTGCACTAATGCTGATAGTGCTTTTTATTCAATAAAACTGATTTTTTTTTAATACTTTTATTTATCTACTTATACAAAATAGCACTTCATTGTATAGTTTTTCATTTAATGATTTTAAGAATTCAGTTTGAAAAGGGAACAGTCATCCACTCAGAGAATTAACATTTCGAGTTCTGTATATATACTTTGCTGAGTTCAAATAATTGACAAAAATCAGTTGTTGTTTCGATCATGTGTATTGAAATAATAAACGATCAAACGCTCTTTGTCTCTACATAAGCTACCTCTCGTGGACTTGTTATCAATGAAAACGCGTTGTAATTTATGTAACATTTTCTATATATTGTTAAAACAGATCAATTATCAAAGTTGTTATGGTTTGTTATATGATCGTATAACACATACAATAGCATAGGTGGATATGGATGAATCAAGGAGCTTTTTTTTTATCATGAATGGGGGTTTTATAGAGGTTGTTCCAGTTTGAGGCAACTTTAATTAATTACTCATTAAGTTATTGTTTAAAATAAATTCCTGAAGTTCTAGAGCAAAGGTGAGTGATTTTAAGTATCAAAGGGTTGTATAGCTCCCCAAATGCCCTGGTATAATTAGGAGTGGGGATAATCTGCTCTACCTCTCGAAATGTTCTTACATGGCCACGCGTATTTGGACACTGTCAGGGAAGTCCTACTGACTGCATTCACGTGGCGAGGGTGTTGTTCACGAAATTAAGAGGATGAAAAAGAATGTCCAGTGTTTTAACCGGGTTGGTGGACACGGAGAGTCCACCCAGGGAGTTGGAAAACCCTGATTCCAAACCAATGGTGAACATGGACTTCAGTATCCTGAGGGAATAAATGGTATATGAGCCTATTGTCGGTCACTGGATATCATGTTACTGAATGTCCTAACATCGCCCCACTACCTTGCAAACTAAAACTTCAGGTTGAAGGCTCTGGGTGTGGCTCTCGAGAAAACCACCTGCTTCGATTTGGGCACCCGGGTAGTATCACAGCCCCCGCACAAGTCACTATTGAGATGTTATCAGGTTTCATTTCAAAGTGCATAATACTGGACTTGAATTTTCATCGATTAGTACAAAACTGAATTTTAGTTGAATGAAGTTTATAAAGCAAAAAAATCTTGTTCAATGATTTAAATTAACTATAAAATATAAAAATTTCAAGCCCAGAGATTTCGAACTAATGAAGCACATCTTATCAATAACGAGTTGGTTCACTCGCCTTCTCTATTGGACTTCATTTTGTTTTGTTTCGTTTTTCTGATCAACAATTGTACAAAATATACGTATTCAAAAATCTATTCTATTATTTGATTTATTTAATTCCAGAAAGGGGGTTTTGTGGAGATATTTAGTAATTTTATGTAGTTGAATGCCGGCTTAGTGATCTGTCGGTTAAGTGTTCGCGCACGAGACTGATATGTCCTGGGCTCGAATCTCGCGATGTGGGGTCATGGATGTGCACTGCTGAGGAGTCCCACAATAGGACGAAACGGCCATTCAGTGCTTCCATGTTTTCCATGGTGGTCTAGCTTCAATTGACTCATGATTTTTTAACTACATAAAAGTATTTAATCCGTTAATTCCTAACCGCGAGTGAAGTCGATAATTAAACACAGGAATTGGTAACATGTATATTTCGATAACAACCAGCAATCAATATGCAATCAAATTAGTGTCAGATTTAGGGTCACTAAACTATTCATCAGTTAAACTGACAATACTTTTTAGTGACCCGATATCTGACTCCAAGTGGATCGCATGATTGATTGTTGTTGAAATATCCATATCGTCAATTCTCGTATGCAATTATCAACTTACATTATGTAGGTGTACAACGGACTAAAATAAGTCAAATACGAGAATGAAATTTTGAATACATATATTTTGTACACTCATTGATTTGAACAGACAATCAGATAGACGAAGCTAAGCAAAATGACGTACTCTGGAGAAGGTATTTCAGCCAAATCAATTTAAACAAGCGTTAATCAATATTTATAGCCAAACAAAAATAAACTACAAACATGTAATGAATAGTATAAGAAGTGTACATAAATACGCTTACATAGAAACAGTCAAGGTTGTTAAGCGAATAATTGACAAAGTCAAAATATGGCTTGAGAAGAATGAATAAATTGATCTATTCAGAGATTATAATACACTATGCGGATTCAACATAGCAACCGACATTGCCAATAAGTAATAATATTTTACAATTTTAAAAGTAAGAGGGGGTTATGTGGAGATTTTAGTAATTTTATATAGTTGAAATCATAAGTCAATTAAAGCTAGATTATCATGGAAAGCCTGGAAGCACTGCATGGCCGTTTCATCCTATTGTGGGACTCTTCAGCAGTGCGCCGTTGGATGCAGGCTCGGTGGTCTAGTGGTTAGGCGCTCGCTCGCGAGACTGATAGGTCCTAGGTTGAAATCTCGTGAGTTGGGATGGTGGATACGCACTGCTGAGGAGTCCCACAATAGGATGAAACGGCTATCCAATGCTTCTAGGTTTTTCATGGTGGTCTAGCTTCAACTGACTCATGATTTCAACTATATAACATTTTAAAAGTAATTAGTTACTAAATTAAGTAACTTAATGAAAAAATAATAATAATACCAAGCATATTCTTTTATTACACTGATTAAAACATGCTCAATTAAGCTAACAAAATGAATTCTGCATGCATGAAATTATATTTTGGCAATTTCATCAACAATTAAAAGCATCTCTCGCTCTTTTCTTTTCTTTTTTTTAGTTTCTAAGCGGTAACATAGATAGACTTAAATAATTTTCCACCTATTAAGCATACTTATTAAGCAGAATAATAGTAGTAGTAATATAACACTACCTCACAATGTTCACCCAGATATTGTGGATCACATCTAAATTAAAATGAAATAATAAATGATTATTTGGAAAAAAAACAAAAAAAAGAAATTTATTTCCCCCTAAAAATTTAGAAGAAAAAAATATATTTTAAATATTGAATTGTAAGTGAATAAGCTTGGTTACTATGTGAGTGGGGTGTATTTTTTGTTTCTTTTTTGATTGATGATTTGTGCAAACATTTAAACACATTGAATGATTTTTTGAAAAGTGATTTTCTTTTTTTCTTTATTTATTTTAGAAAAAAATGAGTAAAAGTTAAGTAGATACTACTTATAACTTGAAAAATGATTATATAATATGTTTTAATCTATTTCAATGAAGTGTTTAATGAATGCATGTTGTTGGGATATGTTTTATCTGTGAGGATTGCTTCGATATTGCTATAAGTCATAAACATTATAATCGGAGATGGTTGGAAACTAATAGTGAAATCCAGTTTGTCTCGTGCTTCACCCTATTTGAGACTTGTCATCTAGATGTACCTGTAACTCAAAGTTGTTGTTCACTTTGAGACTCGAACCTAGTACCGTTCGTTTCGAACGCTTATCACATTATTCACTTAGCTATTGAGTTCTGATAGTCCCTTAGTTTTGCAATGGGGTGAAGTTTAAATTTACTTGGTATTGTTTTTTTGAATCTTCTTATTGATGTTTAGGAAGTAAACGATACTGAGTTTCAGTTCCGGAGTAAACATTAAGTCTAGGATGTAGGTACATCCAGTTGACGAATTCCAAATAAGGAGAAAACACGTCCTGGGTTCCACCGTTTAATTAACACTTTAACAAAGATTTTATTCTTTTAATCTACTTTTTATTTCTACACAGCTTTCAGAGGTATATGTTATCAGTTATATGAATATTATTTGTAAGCAATCATTTCTCAGTCATTATTCAGAACATTGATCACGTAGCTTCTTAGAATTTTCTCGTAATATAACATCTATTCATACTGAGACAGATAAGATGTGGCTTAACAGTGTGATCCAGGACCTAGGTTCCATCTTATTTGAGACTCATCACTTCAGAGTATTTCTGAATCCAAGAGTTCCTGTCTACATCATATTAATCATCTAACTAATGAGGTAACCTACATAATCCAAACCATTAGAAATTCAATTCAATTCACATCTATTTAAAAAAAATTGGGTGAAGACCTAGGTCAATAATTTTTTCCTTCTCTTTATATTGACTCATTTGACAATCCCACAAAACTTTTCAAAAACATTGTTTTTTTTCATTTTTAATTGCTTACCTGCAATATGGTTTCCCATCTATTATGTAACAATGTCCACGATGACAATAATTGTGACAAGGATGTACTAAAAAGAAGAGAATTAAAAAAACAAACAAACACATTAAAACATATCCAGGTTACATAAGGATTCTTTCATATTGATGACAGAATATTAAAGTAGATGGAGGGGGCGGCAATACAATACGCATGTGAATATATTACATCAATGTAAGTACTTTAAAATTTGTTATTTTTACTGCATTAGAACATATGGGAAACTATTTAACTATAAAATAATGTGGTGTATTGTTAATTTATGGGAAATCATTCATTGTATATAATTGACGCCATATATATACACAATTTAGTAACTATTATTTAAGGGCATGAATATGTGAGTTGTTTAGCGTCATTCCAGTTTATGTGAAATTAAAAAGAAAGTTGAAAAAAGATGATTACCAGAAAGGATTTTATGGATAGTATAGTAACCTGGAAGCATTGGACGGCTTCCAGGTTTTCTATGATGGTCTACCTTCAATTGAATCATGATCTTAACTATTAAAAAAAAGATGAAATGAAAAGTTGATAAACATTATTTGATATAGTTGAAATCGTGACTCAATTGAAGCTAGACCATCATGGAAAACCTGGAAGCACTGGACGGCCAAATCATCGTATTGTGGGACTCCTAAACAGTGTACATGCCACGATCCCGTTTCGCTAGTTGAAGTGTTAGCTTTATATGTAACATGTTTAATATTGAAAAATTGATTGTCAGAACTGATCAAATTGATACATTAATTCTAACGATGGTCAGAAGACAGATCAATCAACTGGTAAATTAGTCATTTTGACTAATGATAAAAAGAATTACAACACTGAATGAAGTAATCATCACTATCATAAGCGGTTTAACTAAGTTATGATCAACAGAATTCTGTTATCAGAAGAGAATTTGTGGATATTATAGTAATTTTAATAGTTGAGATCATGAGTCAATTGAAGCTAGAGCACCATGGAAAACCTGTTGGGAGATATCAACTCACTGAAGACATTGATGAATGGTTGCTCAATTTCATGGATTGGTTGAAGTTAGACTTTAACACCGTTGAATGCAGGCCAGCTCAGTGATCTAGTGGTTAGGTGCTCACGCGTGAGGCTAATAAGTCCTGGGTTCGAAACTCACGAGGCTAGATCGTGATTGCACACTGTTGAGGGATACCACAATAGGACGAAACGGTTGTGCAGTGCTTCCAGGTTTTCCATGGTGTTCTAACTTCAATTGACTCATGACTTCAGCTATACCCCTTATCAATCTTCATTGGAAGATTCAGTACTTATTTTTAAAGTATGTTATGAAATGTAATTAACTAAACCTATTAGTCTACAGGTAACTGAGATGAGTATAGTGAAATACATAATGAACTAGTCACATATCACAAAAAATGTCATTCTAACTTAGTTATTGTTGATTTTATTTTGGATAAGAAAAAATAAACAGATGGGGTTTATAAGCAAAGATGGATAGTGACTAGCAGTGGAATCCAAGTCGCACGTTTCGTCCTACTTCGAACTCGTCAGCTGGATATATCTGTATCTCAGAATTGATGTTCACTCGAAGACTCGAACCCAGTACCTTTCGCTTCAAACGCCATCGCGTTATCCACTCGTCCACTGAGTCCTGATAGTCACTTGCTTGTGCGATCGGGTGAAGTTTAAATTCATTTAGTATTGTTTGTTTGAATCTTCTCATCGATGGGATTTATGTTTCATAAATTCAAGGACACTTCATGAAATAAGTTAAGTGTTTTTTGTTTGTTTGTTTTGTGTTTTTCATGTCAATATTGTTGTTAGTTCTAAACCGAGACATGCATAAAATAGTTTATTGTCATTACGGATTAACTTGAGTTAGACAACTAGTGAAGACTAGCAAGTACTTCACAGTTGTTTGGTCTTAGAATAAGACGTTTAACATGTGTGCGAATTCATAATATCATCGGGAATTGAATTTAAGATCTTCAGGTTTAACAATCACTGACTAAATATCCAATGGTTTAAATTTCTAAATTTAGTAATTCAAAACATTGCATGACTATTACTCGTAGATTGAGTGATCTTTATCTCACGTCTGGTATGGTTGAACTCTATTGATTATTAATTCTTACTAGAATTCAATAAACGCACCTTCCAAAGACAACGGATGACAATCACGTTGTATCGTGAATCGACTGAAGTCGAAAGTGTAAATCAATAGATACAAATACGGTGATCTAAAATTTAAGAACTCTCTTTGAAGACTTAGGCTTCTCCATTGATTATATTAATTCATCTACGTATCTTGTTGAAATTTCATACCGTTTGGTGATAACGAAAATATTTTGCAATAGGATATTGGTACTTCACCTAAATAGTAATACTAATGAGAAAGATGTTTAGAATGTGATTCAACCGCTTCTATAAACTTTCACTTTCAACAGTCACTAACTACAGCGCAGAAATATTCCCACAATATAGTAAGATCAATTGAAATATCCATGAAACAACATTCCGAGTTTTGGGCTTATATGAGTAGCATAACTCAAATGGCTTCAGAAATATTATTACACATGTTCAAACTCAGGAAAATGATTGGATATTTTATCAATAATTGATCGATAGCTTAAATGGATGATGTTAATAATAAAATAGCGGTTCAGCTGTTTACAAAAGTTGATTTATGAACTCAGAGCCGTGACCAGTGGCGTTCAATCCGTGTAGAGTAGAGACAGGTATCTACCTCAGACAATGGATGAATGATTGCACAATCATTCATGGATCGATGGAAGTTAGACATTAACACTGTTGTATGCCGGATCAATGGTCTAGAGGTCAAATGTTTGCGCGCGAGACAGAAGGTCATGGGTTTCAGTTCGTTGTGATTGATCGTGGATGCGTACTGTTGAGGAGTTCCATACTAGGAGGAAACAGCCATTCTGTGCTCCCAGGTTTTTACTGGTGGTCTAACATTATTCGTTTTATGATCTCAATCAAAAACTTAACAATCTCCACAATTCCATCAAGAAAAAAGAATTGTTTCGTCTGTAAAATTGCACATCAAAATATAGAATATTTGACGCGAAAATATAGCAATGAAATGATTGTAAAATTTAGCTTGCAAAGATCATTTATTACCACAAGAAAACTGGGGACTAATTGAAGAACCTTATTATTGTTCTACATATCAACACAATAGGATATTTCAAATGACTTTTAAGTACTTCATTTTTTGTTGTTGGTTATCTTGTTTTCCTCTAGGTAGTGAATATTTTCGAACCTTCAACTTATTAGAAGGTTATCTTTTTCACAAACAAACACCAGCTGGAAAACTTTTTAAAACCATAGAGTTCGTGATTGTTGCTTCTTTCTTGTTTGACAGATCTTAGAGGAATATACCCATTAACTGACACTGGATAATGTATAGTGTATTCATGTCTTAACAAAGACACAATAATTCTAGACTATTCAACTAAAATACAAAATCTCCATTCTACTTTGATAGTATTGGTGCCACGCGACAACTCAGTACTGTTCCTTTATATGCAGATTAATTAGCTGATCATAGACAATATAATACATGATAAGAATATGCATCGGTCCAAGTTTACAAACTGCGCTTTAGTATAGTGAGAGGAAATATTAACAAGATGGAAATCTAAGGTGTTTAAATGATAAAACTAATTGTAGGTTAAAAATGGTTAATGAAGTTATAAAATAGAAATTAAAAAAATGGAGTTTAGTCCAAGAAGTCAATGTAAACTACAATGTAATCTACTTTATGTAATGCAACCGGAAATCACCGTAGAACATAAATTGGAAGACATCACCTGTCTACATTACAGAATGATATCCACTATCTCTATTGACTGATTGAATACTATTGCTTGACCACCCTAACCTAGTAAAATGATGATTTAAGTTCTTGTTTTTCAACATGCCTTATCTAATTGACATCTTAGTTATAACCTCATAATTACACACTTCATGTATTTATTAATAGCGAACAACACTTCTAAACCGTTGATTCACTGTTTTCAATCTATTTATTTCTCTCACTTTTATAATTGTGAAGATTCCATATGAAGAGGAAATTATGAAAAGACTCTACAATTAGATAGAAAATACATTAAAGAAATCATCAAACTATACCATGAGGCAAGCGCTAACTTGGAATCCTAAAGAGAAACGGAAAAGACGATGACCAAAGAACACATTTAACTGAGAATCGGTAACAGAAATGAAATGAATGAATAGCAATTAGAAAGAACTAGAAAGCATCACTTAGGAAAAAGTTGGATAAAGAATGCTGATATGCAATCCATGCTTCTCCAATGAGGGGTAACAGGCGTAAGTAAGTAAATAAAGAAGTAATATAAGATAAACTACTGAATATAGAATTGGTTGTAAGCTATTGATAATACTCTATCCCCCAGAGTTTTTTTTTTCTAAAATGCTTTTACTTAACTAAAGAAGAAAAAAGGAAACAACCACATCAGATTCTATATGATGAAGAGTAGAATAATACTATTCTATATAGTCGTAATGGATATGATTGAACTATATTCCTTAAAGCATAATAGTAATTATTGCCTTAAGGGTATCTAGTTAAATTAACAATTTGTATCAATATTTTTACAATATACTTTATAATTAAGATAAATGGAAAATTTCCCTTGAGTATAACCATTCAGATGTAATTGAAGTTTGTGGAAGACAAACAACCAAACAAAGAAGAATGTAGATGAACAAAAAAAGGTGTTAAGTGTAAAGATGATTTTTATCCAACCCCCTTTTTTTCTTTTTTTTATCAATTAAGGTGTTTCGTAAAAGAGATAACTACATCACAACTAGAGAAATATTGAAAGTTAAGAAGTAGTGAATAATGGTTTAGTCCTAAATACAGAGCTATATGATAGTGATAATATACAAATCTGTTATGGTTCTAATGCATGATCTACAGAATGAGTAGCAAGTATGAATTTTATCGGAAATAGATTTTGTGGATATTATAATAATTTGATAGTTGAGTTTATGAGTTAATTGAAGGTA